GTTTGTTTTTTTTGCGGCGGAAAGGCGGCCTCTCGACACTCTCTGGTTGTGAGCAGGGCGTACGTTAATTGTCGCGTTTCCGGTAATTTTTTGCGTGTTGTCCGCTGCGTTTATTTTATTTTTGTTGTTTTTGTTTTTATCCCCCTTGGTTATTGCACGGAAGGTGAAGTATTCGAAATCAAAGGCTAGTTGAACGTGTGCACTTAGAATGTGACTTGAAAATTGACATTTCCACCGGATTGGCGAGTGACTGGTCGGCGTGAGTGTGGTTCAGTGTTCATCGATTCACGTACAATTGTTTTTTAGTGATCTTGAAAAAAGTCTCTGCGGATGATCGGGGCTGGCGAGGAGGAAATCCGTGTCATCAGGACAAGACGTGATAAAGTTCTTGTTCTTGCCTTTGGCCACGAGCTTTACTTGTGCCTGTTGTGTACGTAATGCTGTTGAAATCGGTGATCTTTTTTCGAGTCCGGTTGGTTTCATATGTGGGAAGAAAAAAAGAAAGAGAGAGAAAAAAATCGTCGCCGAAGGTGATGCGAATCTGAGGGCACTTTGTTGAGAAGAACTGGGTTTCTTGTTTTGTGACGAATCGCGTGTGATGCGGAAAACTTGTTACGGTTTTTTATGCGTAAATACGTGGCAGAAACGAGGCCAGGCTTTTTGGAGGGTGGTTTTTTTTTTTTTTTTATAAAAAAATCAGAGCTTGTGTTCATGGTGTAGGATTGCTGTCATTTGGGCCATGAATGTGCCGAATTTTTTCAGATCATCGTCGGGGAAAATAAACCACTGTTTGTTCTTTTTACATCGTGTGCTGATCAAGGCTTATTAATTTCATGTGCTCTCTAAAAGGCTGAGAACAAGATTTGTCAACTCTTCTGTGGATTTTCTACATTTTCACGCAATGTGATGTTTGCCAGCGACCGTCTGGTTTGGAATAGTGTGCTTTTGAAACTTGTTGACTCATGGAAATGATGGAACCCGTCCCGAATCGATTCATGTTACAGGGCCTCTTTTCCAGTGTACACAATTATGGCAAGTACACTAAAATGCAGTACTGAGTACAGTATATAACTGATACAAGCTGACTTGCATATACTGCAGGAGAAAAGGGTGGGGCTTTTGCCTTTAGGTACGTGGAAATGCTGTATTGTACAGTATTTTCAATACCGTTTTCTTTAGAACTTCAACTTCCATAGCAAGTTTCTTTCAGGCTCTCACAAATGTCCATGGGAGAGTTACAAGTATTTTATACAGTAAATAACACGCCAAGGCTAGTAATCCAGCAAGTCTTTCAAGATGTTAACCCTCTTTAATTCGAATTATACTGTGTGAGGGACAGCAGAAATTGTGATGTGGTGAGATACATTAATTTTGAATCTCGAGAAACTATTATTTTTACCTTGAAGAAGAAAAATTACAAGAAGTTGAAATGAGTGATCTTTTTGGTCTGAAATGCCCTCTGGAGAAGTTTTCAGGATGATTTTTTTGCAGGCAAGGGTTCATTTGCCCAATTATTCTTTCAATTTCTTATGAAGAACAGCTACATTTGTTTTGCTTCTCTCTTTACTTCAGTAATGGGTCCCAAAAATAATCGTAAAAATGCCCTCAGAAGATTTGAGTACAGAGGCTTGAGTGCTAAGGTTTTATGTTATCAGGGTGGTTTCTGATGCATTGTTTCTAAGTGAATCCAGACAGGAACTTTGAAAAAAAAAAATTGACAGAACAAGGTACAGTACTCATTACTGCATTTGGAGGTTGGATTTATTTATGATACAGTTATTCAAATGTTGTACTGTACTGTACTGCTGTATATTTGCTGCGGCGTTGTATCGTCATAGATGAGCTCCTATTATATTGAAAATCGTAATGGGAATCTATTACTGAATCAAGGCAGCAGTACTTTCTAGAATTTCTAGATCATTAAATTGAGAACTTAATCATCGGCTTTTAATAGAATGGAGTAGAATCGAGTCGGGAAGGGCGAAAGGGTTCATGCCTTCTTCATTCAGAGTAGTCGTGAGATCTAGAAGTCAAAAGACTGACATCTATGTTACTTTCACACATATGAGTTTCTGCTTTGAAGCACGAGTTGTCGACTCATGTCAGGCGTAGGGGTATGTCGCCCATTTTCTGCAGCAAGGTAGTACAGTACCATGTGCAGTACTATACGGTGAAGTTGCGAGCGTGTCTAAGTGGAACATGTGTTCATTAACGGTGCAGTTGAAATTCATTTCTCGTTATTGATACGAAAAAGCCTAAGTCTCATTCGTTACGGAGTGAACGATGTGATGATGATCTTCTGTAGTTTATTTTGTGAATGAAAGACTTCAAAATTATTGTAGATCGACGGTGAAGTCCCCAGTCGCTGTAGTACTGAATCTCTGGGAATCGGTGCCTTCGTCTGTTCAAACTTTTTGAAGTGAAACACAGTTCTTTGTCACAAATACAATACTTTAGTAAGCTTTTTGCATTGACAATGCATCAGGTCCAAGTGAACGCCGTCCGTGATCGTGACTTTGCTAGACCTCGTAAAATCATGGGTTGGGGATTCGTCACATGTGGTCCAAATGAAGCGTTAGTCATTTCAGGTAAGAAATGTACCGTTGCAGCCTCGAGAAACTGTGAAATATGCGTGTTATTTTTAACAGGATGCTGTTATGCGAGACCACATCTGGTTCCTGGAGGACGTGCGTTCGTCTGGCCTGTCATTCAGCAATTCCAGAAGTGAGTGCGGTCACTGTAGCTCACAAATTACACTGGATTGGTATTTCAATGGAAAATTAACGTTTACTCATTAGCATTACAATTGGTTGATCTTATTGTCCTTATTGATAGAGTTTCTCTACAACTGATGACGGTACAGATTCTAAGCAAGAAAGTCGTGACTAAGTTGGGCGTCCCGATTTCCGTCGTGGGTACCGCTCAGGTAATGTTTAAAGTTTATCTTGTGGCGGTGGCTTGGTCTAAAATGAATGTAGCGAGCTGTTTGGCTAAATTTCCTTTGAAACCCC